AATTATTTTCCAAATACAACATTAGATGTTTAGAACATTCTTTATCTTTAAATAATGTATAATTTATCCTTCCTAGAAATGGAAAATTCCCAATACTAGCATAAAGCATCATTGGTATAAGCCCTGTACTACATCTGTAGACAGAATTCTCCTATAAGTAAAAAAAGCATTAATTTTGAATCTCAGCACAGAGTAACCATCAAAATGAATTAAATTTAAAAAATACAGATGCTACTAAATAAGGCAATATGTGTGTACGTATATCCTTAAGTTTACATTTTTAAAGAATATCAGCACATATGTACTATAACCAGGCTGAAAAAAACATTATTTTGTATTCTGGTGTTTCATGTAATTTATTTTTGGTAGTCTAATTTTGCAGTTTTAACCTGAAAAACTTGTGGTCAATTTTTAAGCTCTAAAAGAATGTTTTGTATAAAAATCCAGATTTTTTTTGAGGCATTAAACATTGTCAAAGTAACAGCATTAAAGAAATAGATTTTGATCAAATAAATGATACAATACCATTTTGTGCATATATAGAAAGAATAGTGGATTGAGAAAAGCCAGGTAGTTCTGTCTCTATAACTATAAAATTAGTATTTTTAAATCCTTTTTACTAATTAGTAGTGACATTTTTAAAGTCAATTTTCAGATTAATATTTTTCACTTTCTACTTTTACATATATTTCATTGAACTGTTTTTGAAAAGTCATAAGTAAGTCCTTTCTCTGAATGACTCTAGGAAATAAGATAATTGGATAGTAAATGTCAATTAAAATCTGTGTTAGCTGTCTCAGCGACTCAGGAGACTGAAGCAGAAGGATTAAGACTAGCCTCAGCTAGTTGGTAGAGCTCTAAGCAATTTAATGAGACCCTGTCTCAAAATAAAAAATAAAAAGGACTGGGGATGTGGTTCAGTGGTTAAGCACCCATGGGTTCAATCCCCAGTACCAAAAAAAAAAAAAAAAAAAAAAGATCTGTGCCATTATCATAAAAACTATCATACTATTAGAGCTCTGGTATTATTGCAACAAAGGAAAACACAGAGAAAAATAATTATTTACCACAGATTCTTTTTTCGTGCCATAGGATCAAATTCAGAACTTTGAGTTGAGAATTCAAGGTCCTCTAAATCCTATCCCCTATCCATGATCTCAAAACTTAACCCCCACCCCCAATACTGTCATGAACAAAGTGTTCAATTTAGAACTCATCTTTCTGTCACCCATCTCAAATATCTTCTTACCTCTGCATTATAACACCCCCACACACACTTTTCCTCTGCCTCCTGTTTCTTTCTCTTATGCTTTCATGAATCCTTTCTCTCTCGAAGAGCAAATTTATGGAAACATTCTCTATGAAGCCATATTTAAATAAGACAACTTCAATATACAAAACAGAATAAGACGTTTGCAGCAAAAATAACCAATATAACATTGGTGTCCTGAAAATGTATTAGTAATTGTTAAAAGAGAGGATAAGAATATTAGTTATGTTTAATATGTATTCCCTGAAGCAGATGTATAGAAATGAATGCAGGCTGTATAAACAGGAGGCAGTATATTCAGGAGATGACCTTTGGAATTGCCTGTTGAGGGTGTCATTAGTCTGTTTACTAGTGTAGGTCCCTGAGTTTTGATCTCTTGGAACAGTGCAAATCTCCCATGGAGTTGTCAAACACAGGGAGTGGGGGAGCCCAGTTATTATTGCTTTAATCAGTAGCTGCTATCTGCTTCTGAGGGGTTTTGATTCTCTGGGATTGTGAATGAGCAGAGCAGATTCCAATAGCTGAAGACCAGCAGGGGACAAGGGGCTAGTAGTCAGTGTGCGCTACAGTGAAAAGCCTGGGAGAGTGGGTGGGGCACCAGTAGAAAAAAAAATGGACAAAACAAATAAACATGTTTTTCACAGAAAACATAAATTGCTCGTAAAATAGTGAGACAAGATGTGGTGAATTAATCAGGGAAATAGTTATTGTTTTACATTTACAAAATTGACAAAGGAAAGGGTTAAGAAGGACATGGGGAGGAGAAGTTCTTGTTCAATAATGGTTGTGTTAGAAATAGATGAAACTGCTTTGAAAAAAATCTGGCTATCTATAATGAGATTAAATATTTTCTGTGACCCAGTGATGTCACTCTTGGGGATGTAACGTGGATAAACCTCTTCTAAAGGTACACTAGAATATATGTTCAACAGTATTCACAGAAGTTAGTGTTTGTAATCACAAAGCAAAATTAGAAACAAGTGTAATGTTCATTAGAAGGAGAGAATAGTAAATAAATTGTGGCATATAAATATAATGGCATAGTATGCTATGATGGCCATTTACATTAAAATGGATGAATTTGAAAAAAAAAACTAATGCTGATTTTAAATGTCTCTAGAAATGTACACAGTATGACTTGATTTATGTAATGTGAAGGAAAAAACATGCAAAACCACACAATGTTTCTTTTTTACATAATAAAATAGTTGTATAGTAAAGTTCTTAAAAAGCAAAATAATTAACATCATTTGGGAATTTGTGGAGCAAATCAGAAGATGTAATCAAGGAGTAGTACTCAGAGGGTATCCCCCACACACACACACTTCTTTTATTGGTGCATTATAGTTGCACATACAGATGTGATTTGTTGTTATATATTAATACATACACAAAATATAGCAATATAATTTGGACCATATCACCCCTAGAGCTGTCCGCCTCCCTCTGTACCTCTCACCCTGGATTTCTTTTCTCTACTGATCTCTCTTTGATTTTCATGAGATTCACCTTTCTATTCCTTTTCCTCTCTAGCTTTCACATGTGAGAGAAAACACAACTCTTGACCTTCTGAATTTGACATATTTCATTTAACATGATGATCTCTAGTTTCATTAATTTTCTTGCAAATTACATAATGTTTTTTTAATGGCTAAATGAAATTCCATTCTGTATATATACCACATTTTTGTTAACCATTTATCCACTGATGAACATTGTAGCTACTTCCATAGTTTGGCTATTGTGAAATATGCTGCTATAAACAATGAGTGTGCCTATATCACTGATATCTTTAATTCTTTAGTTCTTCAGAATAAATGCCAGGGAGTGGTATAGCTGGGTCATATGTTACTGCCATGCTTAGCCTTTTGAGGAGCTTCTATATTGATTTTCATAGTGGTTGTACTAATTTAGTCCCATCTACAGTGTAAAAGTATTCTTTTTCTCCACATCCTCTCCAGCATTTATGGTTATTTGTATTCTTGATGACTGACATTCTGACTTGAATGAGAAGAAATATCAGGGTAGTTTCGATTTGCATTTCCCTAATTGCTAATAATGTTGAACATTTTTTTCATGTATTTGTTGGCCATTTTTAGTTCTTCTTTAAGAAGTACCTGTTTAATTCATTTGTCCACTCATTAATTTGGTTATTTGATTTTGGTGTGTTAAGTTTTTTGAGTCTTTTTTTTTTTTTTGGTATTGGGATATTAATCCTCTGTCAGAAGAGTAGCTAGCAAAGATTTTCTCCCATTCTGTAGGTTCTCTCTTCACATTCCTAATTGTCACCTTTTCTTGCAGAAGCTTTTTAATTTGATGCCATCCCATTTATTCACTCTTTGTATTATTTCCTGAGCTTTAAGGGTCTTGTTGAGGAAGTCATTGCCTGCTCCTTTTGTGCTGCAGTGTTGAAACCCAGAGTATCTCTATTTTTCATTCTAATATATACATGCATATGTTCAGTTATGTATAGAAAATGTTTCATAACAAAGATTGAGCCGAAGAAGGGAAATCATGAAATGAAACTCAGATACAATGTCCCAGGAGTAGGAGAATCAGGAAAACTGTTGTGCTAGGAAGCAAATAAGGCGAGAGCAGTCAACGATGGCAACTATTGCTAGGCTGTGTGGGGTACAGAACAAAATGAAGCTAATGGAATTGGGACTTAAGAGGTCATTGGAGCCTTTGATGAGGGACAGGTTTAGTAATAGAGTTGGGGTACATGCCAAGAAACAATGATTTGAGGAGTAGTAAAAAGCAATGAACACCAGCAGCTCTTTAAACAATTTTGGAAGAAAATCTAAGGAAGGAGATAGGTAATAATTTGAGCAGAAGGCAAATTTGAATGCTATTTAGATGTATTTTATGAAAGAACATAATCTGGACTAAACTGCAGATATATATTAAAATTGCTTAAATAGAAATTTACTTACAGGAAACTATTCAATATTGTTCCAAAAAAAACAAATTCTGGAGAGTCTTTAATCTTTTCTAGTGAAGAAGATATAATGTTTTAAATAATTACCTCATTTTGTTTCTAAAATTTCCCCCCAAAAAATATTTTATTAATTTCGAATGCCTCTTATACCCTCTGTGGTTCTTGTTTAATTGCCTTTCAATGTTCTTTCTCCTTTTTAACAAACACGAATTAGATTAAACTGAATCATAATATGTAAGCACGTTGGGCCTACATTAAAGAAATTGTTAGTAAAGCTGTTGGCTTATTCCTTCTTTTTTCAGACAGGGTAACTTTCTTCATCTTGGTAACAAATTTTAGACAAATTTTGATGATTAAATGAAATCATCAAATATATTCCATATTCTTGCCTGACTATATACATGAATGTTCTATTGAGAAAGTAATGCTAATCTTAAAATTGAAAAGAAAACATGACATACAATTTGAGAGTTCCATAAAAATATATATATATGTCTTGACTGGCATGCATGAAGTTAGGCCAGCTGTAGGAGATGCTGTCACTAACTTTAGCAGTGACATAAATCTCAGTATAGGAGAGCAGCATGGAAGTGGGTGAATGCCATTTATTTTAATAACAGACAAAATTTTCAAGCTGTAACAACATGCTCAATAAATTCTTCCATTACTGTGATACCAAAGGAGAGTTGGAAAATGTATTATATATCTATTTTTTCTTTTCAAAGATATATATTTTTGCTCTGTTTCTATAGCAACACTGATGCAGTGACTAAAACTTTAACTCCCTTTTAGACTCCCTGATGGCTTCACTCAGCTTCTAAACCTGACCCAGCTCTACCTGAATGACGCCTTTCTTGAGTTTCTTCCAGCCAATTTTGGAAGGTAAGACTAAGAAATATGAATTATGCAATTTTATTTCATATTCAGTAAGTGCTTTGTGAGCTCCAGCAGATGAGGTTTCAAAAGTGACAGTTGTGATTAAAGATAGAGCTCATTATTATACAATAAATAAGACTTAATTAATGAAACTTTCTGAAAAAATAAAATTAGGTCTTCACATAGCATTAATAATCAAATAAATTCTAGATACATTAGGGAGTTAAAAATAAAGTCAGAAATTATCTGGGAAAAACAATGCAGATGAATATTTATCACTCTTGAGTTATGAAATACTTTTATAGGTACAGAAGTAAAGGAAAATATCATAAGTGGGATAGATAGATTTGACCAATTACTTTTAAAATAAAATAAACCAGAAAGCCAAAATTTAAGGAGAATAATGAAGTAGGAAAGTATTTTCATTATATATTTTTAAAATTATTTATTCCTTAATATATAAATAATTCTTACAAGTGAATATGAAGAGAAAGTTCTTGAGGGAAAATGGATAATTGCCAGGCACAAGCCATTTATAATAAACATACAAATGACAATTGAACATATGAAAAATGCTTATTTTCACAATTAATAAATATAATACAAATTAAAATGAACCTAAAAGGTCTTTGTGTCCTAGTATATTGCAAAAACTTTCTTGAGTATGAGGAGAGAAATAACCTCACGCTTTGCTCATGGAACTGGGAGACTGTTATACTTCATGTGGGGCAGCAGGCTTTAAAAGCATTGAAAATATTTACAACAATTGCCTTTGTAATTCATTTCTAGAAGTCTCTTATACCACCATCAGATATCACACTAGGATTTACAGACAAGTATATTTATCATTACTGACAAAATGAAAACAGGGGATCACACATCTGTCTGAGATTGGCTAGATATATTATAGTTTATCCCAATGATAATACTATGTAACAATTAGTAATCTCACTTTAGGAAAACATTTTTCAAAAATCCTTACAATAAATCTAGGAGTGTATTATAACAAAAATATATAAACTAATTTTCTACTGTGAATATGCATGAAATAAGGGGCTGGTTACTCTGAAGTGCAAATTTGGGTAACTTAAATTTTCATTTACATATTTTTAAAAATATTTTCCAGGTGCTCTGCAATGAATTTTTATGTAAAAGATATATCTTAAGAGTCAAAACATTTTAATTTCACTGTCAACTGAATTTTTCCAAATAATTACCTTTGAAATTGTTCAAACAATAGGTCAAGCATAATTGAATATGTTGACAGAAGCAGGTTGTTGGCCTTGAGATCTCAGTATAATGATGAAGTCACTCAACCTGCAGCCTCCGTTCACATACAGAGAGCACAGGAGCGATTCCCAGACTCCTTCACTTTTGTGAATCACAATATTACAACAGCTGCAAGCACCATGTACTTGGGCAGGGTTTAAAACTCACAGATTTTTTTAAAAAGCATTTGCCTGGCTTCTAAGTGTGAATTGGAACATCACCATCTATCCATATAAACTAGAATTGCCTTTCTGGTACTGATCACAACACTACAATATGCTTTTGAATTCCCAAATCATAAAATATTTAATTATCACCCTAAGACAATTTTTCTCTGGAATATTTGTCAGCTCTCTTTTGTCCTAAAGTGAGGACAAGATATAGGTGAACAGAAAATACAATACTCATACCCAAACTAGAATTAGGATTTAAGTTTTGGATAAATTGTGTGTCAGAATATACTATTTCATTATTATAATCTAAAGTTTTTAAAAATCATCTGAGTATGGGGCTGGAGTTGTGGCTAAGTGGTAGAGCACTTGTCTAGCATATGTAAGGCACTGGGTTCAAGCCTCAGCACCACAAATAAATAAATGAATAAAATAAAAGTCCATCAACATCTAAAAAAATTAAAAATAAATAAAATTATCTGAGTAGTTTAACAAAAGGAAGCTTAAGTTCCCTTTTAAAACCTAATATTCTGCACTCCTAAAAGCCAAAATCAGTCCCATAATATCATCATACTAGTGTAATTGTCTAAAAGATTTGAAGTACATAAATGTGTAAGAAACATTTTTATTGGTGATATACCCATTATCTGACAAACTGCATTACTGTATTCCATTTTGAGATTGATTTGTGCAATTAATATTAAATTAGAAACTTAATAGGAGGCAAGACAAACAGGGAAAGGAAAAGAGACCTAGAGGACTACCTAAAAGATAATAAATACAGGTTGATATCTGTGAAATAGTTCAAATAATGAAATATTCCTAGAGTAGAAAGAATTAAGAGAATTCAATTAATACCTGTTTCAAAGTAACCCCATCGAGTACCCTTTAAGCTCAATATGGACATGAATAGTAATAGTGTGTTCCAGACTGCAGACCTTAACAAGCAAGATGCATTCCTAATCACAACCATCACCCCAGCAACAGGAGCTATGAACACCTCTCAGCCTCTTCACATGATTTCTCCAACCCCAGCATTGTCTTAGGGGTTGACAACACAGATTTTGAAATGAATGCCCCTCTGGAAATGTTAAAACGTGTACCTTAGCATCAGTAAAATATGGTATGCTATAGCATTTTCTCATCTTTCCATTGTGTAATTAATGAAATATGCAATTATTAATATTTTTAAAACCTCTACTAGGAATTATGCTTCGCATGTATTATATCATTTAATGTTTTAAACCCCATGAATTTGGGCTGGGGATGTGGCTCAAGCGGTAGTGCGCTTGCCTGGCATGCGTGCGGCCCGGGTTCGATCCTCAGCACCACATACAAAGATGTTGTGTCCGCCAAAAACTAAAAAAAAATAAATAAATATTTAAAAATTCTCTCTCTCTCTCTCTCTCTCTCTCTCTCTCAAATAAATAAATAAATAAATAAACCCCATGAATTTGATACTATTATCACACTGAACTCAGAAGGCTTAAATTTTAATTAATTTGCAATGTCACAGAGGCGGAATATGAAACACTGTAACTTTGCTCAGATCTGTTTTACTGTAAAATCCAAGTTGTTGGTTTGTTTGTTTTGTTTTGTTTTGTTTTTGCTTATTATTTCTGATCTATGTCATTTTCTTTTCAAGTCCATTTATGGTCTCTTGGGGAAATGAATTGTATTCCAGTGAATACAGCACCTAGTATTTAGTATGTATTCAAATCTCTCTTCAATGCATGAGATTAAATATAACACTCAGTATGTTTTTATAAAACATTAGAAATTTAGAACACTGGGATTCAAAGATATCTTTGAAATATCTTTACTTTTAGAAAAGTGATTTGACATTGACCACTGTTAATGTGATCTTATTCATCATCAATTTGCATATCTCTTCAAAATCTGGAACCATAGTAAAAAATATTTCAACATAGCTATTTGCAAAATAATAATAATAATTGATGTTCCATTATAGTAACTTTTTATTCTAAAAGAGTAAAAATGTATTTTTTTTCTATAGGCTTGTCAAATTGCGAATCTTGGAGCTAAGAGAAAATCACTTGAAAACTCTACCAAAGTAAGTTATTGTGTATTTTCTAAATTTTGAATTGTGATTTGGGGCTACAAGGGAAAATAGCTACTTGATTTTATTTAGGTTGTTTTACCATTATTCTACAAATTCTTCCTTGTCTGCTTTTTTCTTCCTTTCCTTGGTAAGAAGGAGAAAGTATGAATATTTTTATTCTTCCTGTATAGTACTACTATATAGATTTGTATTAAATTAGAATGTATAGTGTCTTATAAAATGGTATCATTACAAGTAAAGATGGGAAGAGTCCATTTAAGGTTCTCATGGCAAAAAAAAAAAACACTAGCCAAAAAAATTATTGCACTAAAACCTATGAAACTGTCATTTTTATATCTGAAAAATGACAGTTTCACAGGGTTTAATTTAAAAGAATGCTTACTTCTGCAAGTTAATTTATGAGTTGTGATATTTTTCAGTTTTTAAATCAAGACTATGCCAGAAATTTTTAGAAAAAAAGTTGAAAAATTCTTAAGAAATCTAAAGTGTTTTAGCAAAAATGAAAAAGTTATATATTCTTGAAATTTTTTCCTTTTTACTAGTGTATTTAAAATTTGTTTTATGTAACTATACAGGATATTAAAGTGAGAACTAGTATCCAGTATCTAACACAGTGTTTGATTTAATAAAATGCATTGTTTTACCTTGCTCTCCTTTATTCATGTCTAACAATAGAATTTTGTGTTGTCATAATTATTTTTGAAAATCAAAAATTATTTATGATAAATAAATATGACATATGTTATGATTAAAATAGGTACTATATTGCTATTATTACCTTCTTTTAGAATTACAGAAAAATCTTAAGAATAGTGATAGATTTTCTTTTCAACGGAACTTAGACACATTCCTCTGCTGAACCAAAACTTAATCTTATTTTTTCCCCTAAGCAAACTATACTGAATTTCATTGTTTCTAAAAATCAATATTTCAATAACGCATCTTCAAGTTCAAAGCATGATATGATTTATGAAAATTTAGTTCTTGCAAAATAGTCACTTAATTATGATAACTTTTGAAAATGATATGGAATTCATTTAAATATATATGTAGAGGATGCATCTGTGCATTCCTCCATAAGAAGAAGGCACAGAGAGGAGGAAACTGCTCTGTATCTCAATATCTGGCACTTTTGAGTAATACAATTTTCTAAGGCAGAGCATCATGCCTGGGTCTAACTCAAGACACTTTACCCAGGTTGGAAGATATGTTAGTTTTGCATTATTGTGACAGATGCCTGAGATAAACAACCTAAATGGAGGAAATTTAAAGTGGAAACATGGCTGAGTGGAAGCTAAACCAAAATGAAGGAACATTTGTTCTTTTCAACTAAATGTATACATTTAGTTGAAGGATAAAATACTGAGTATGGAGGAGAGTCTACATTGCTCTCAAGAAAAGGCCTTGATTTCAAATATAAAATAAACCAGGCATAAGTTGTAAGATATTTTTAATATTTTTAAAAATATCCTTCATTGGTCTTTGTGTAAGAATATCTCAGGGTCAAGGAATCTGGGAGAGGCTGGATATAGGTAATACTGTCTCACAATCTTACAGTCCAGCTGTGATTCTGCCATCTAATTTGCTTCAAATCTCACTCAAGCATTGTTTGGCACATGTGTTTTTCAGTTATCATAGGGTAGAGGCTTTAGTTCTGGGCTCTGCCCATGGACTTTTCTATAGGGCTATTCTCAGTTTGGGATCTTGTTTCTCCCAGAGCAGATGACAACAGAAAGAGATCCAAGACAGAGCCTTGGTCCTTTTACAGTCTGATCTCAGAAGTGACTTCTGCCATATGTTGTTTGTCCAGAGATTAGATCTGGCATAGTGTGCATAATTGCATGAATGTGAATTCCTGGAGGTGGGATTGGTTGGGGCCATTGTAGAAGTTCCTACCATGTCTGGTGCTTATGTCTCTGGTCTGGAAATTCAATTTGGGCAGTACACCAGATATATCAGATACACAAAGAGGGCTCACAAGTCAAGTTTGTGATGAATTTTCATCTTAGCACAGTATTTCCGCTTTACCAGAAATCTTCAGTTGTGCTGTTGTTCCTCCTGAAAAAAAACAAACAAACAAAAAAAATTGTTCCCATTATAAAGCCTTTACAATGGTTGCTTCTCTATCTAGAGTTCTCTTCATGGTAGGTCTTCCTTAGGATTCATGTTTTTCTTTAGAGGTTGCCTCCTCAGAGGCCTTTCCCAATCATGTCATATAAAATTGTGTCCTCAGTCTTTATACCATTTCACTATTCCTTTTGATTTTCTTCACAATATTTATTATTCTCTGAATTATGCTGACTCTTTGTTTATTTGGAGATTACCTCCTCAGAAAACTATCAGCTCCATTAAAAAGAGACTTATTTTCTGTGTTGTCACTGCTGATTCTGCAGTGCTGGGAACATTGTAGGCACTCAGTAAACTGAGCAAAATGCTGATGAATTGATTTACAATGAAAATGTTCGTGTGACCTGGATAGTTTGTGTCACTTGATTATTTTACCCTTTGGAAAATTGTATGGGAAACGGAATATATCAAATAAATCTTTGGTGAATATAATGAAATCAGGTAAGGACAAGTGATTGGAGGGTCTCAATGGTCCATAGCTGACATTTGAATTTTAAATCACCTAATCCTCCTCCTCCTCCTTTTCCTCCTCTTCCTCCTCCTTTTCCTCCTCCTCCACTTCCTCCTCCTCCTCCTTCCCCATGTCCTCCTCCTCCTCCTCCTCCTCCTCCTTCTTCTTCTTTCTCTCTCTCTCTCTCTCTCTCTCTCTCTCTCTCTCTCTCTCTCTTCCAATTTAGACAATATTTAATTCATGATAAGGGAAGAAAATAACTTGAAATTAATAAAACAATATTTATAATGTTAAAGGAAATCCAAAAGCATTGTAACATATTTACTTGCTTATTTATTAGAATGAGACACATTAAGTCAAGAGTGAAAAGCTAATGATTTTTAACAATAAATTTCCACAAAATTAACAAAAAAGCATATAAATGGTTAGTAATGGTGGTAGAGTTATCTTTAAATAAAACCATTCCACATTTGTGAGAAGAATTTTTCTATTATCTTGAAGTTCAAATAGGGCTATAACTATTTATTAAGGCTATAACTAACTTTGTTTCAACTCACACTAACATGTATTATGTAAATGCACATGTTAGAGTTGTGAAAATATGAAGTCATATGAAGAAAGAGATACAAAGATTAGGTTAATATTATTGTTCATATTTTCCCACCTGTAATGTACCAAGGAGTGAAGCATATTTCAGTCTGCCATTATAAAACACTAAGAGGAATGTTTAAAATATTCTCCAGAAAGGTTACTTGGCCCATATCAGTAAATGGAGTAAAGCCCGATGAACATATCTAAAATGGAAAAAAAAATTCAATGACTTTGATGGATAAGAAACATTTGTGGTTATAGAAAAGACAATACAAAGTGGAGAGAGAAGTCAGAGGCAATGGCAACCTCTTTAGGGTCAAGGACCATTATGAGAATCTAAAATAAAGCTATAGACTCTGAAAAAATGTTAATTTTGAAATTCCATTCTCTTTCCAATATTTTCATGGTCCATTGTTAACTTTCATATTTATATCTTCACGTAGAAGTAAAACATTTGCATTTTTTATAAAAGGGATCATTTTAACATTCTATTACTAATATAGTTACTCAAGAAGAGAAGATTTTGTTGAGCAAATTTTCCTTTGGGTTGTTAATAGGATTATATTTTATTATTGTCTATTGAAATCTTGAACTTTCCTTAGTAATAAATAATTTAAAGAAAATTTGAAGAAATTGTCTTTTGAGTTGTTAATAGGGCTAAATTTTATTATCAATGAAGTTCTGGCGTTTCCTTAGTAAAAAATCACTATGGAATAATTTAAGGGACATTTTCCCAAGTACAATCATAAATGATACTTTGAAACTACTAAACAATGTAGATATCTACTAAATGATGTGTTTTTTATTTATATGATTTCATTTCTTGGGCATCGTTTCTTTTATTAAGTGACATTCCCCCTGAAAATAGATTCAGAAACTTTCCAGTTTGTGAACACCTAGGAATCCTTGGCCAGCTGACAGAACTTTGGTGGGTCTGAGGATTAGACAGAGGCAATGTCTTACTGTTAACTTCCTGATTTGAATGGTTGTATTTTGGATGCATAGGAGAATGTGTTTATTTTTAGGAAACACACATTGCGATATTGGAAAATGATGTGGTACCAACTTAATGATTTATTCTCAAAGTCATTCTTCAAAGAATAACTTCTATAATATTTTGAACTTTTGTGTAATTTTATAATTTCTAACAAAATTTTTTATCTATTATTAGTTATCATTATCAATATAATTAAGTAAAGTTCATAAATTAATATGGATTATGAACTGGACAGATATGACTCATTTTCTGCTCTCACTTCAGTGTCGTAGGAATGAATTTATCTTATTTGGCATTATAGTACTATTTTTAGTTATTTCAATGAAATACATCAATAGATTCCTTACTGCTATTGTAACAAAAATTTCATTGTCAAGCATAGCTCACTGAATGACTTTTCAATGTTGCTATTCCCTCTGATTTTATAATTCTGTATTGTAACTGTAATGTATAATATGTGTTTTTATAATAATATTACCTTGTGCTTTTACCAATGTGTATCAAGTTACAGGTCATGGTATTTTTGCTGAACTGATAGCACTATCCCATTCTGGGATGTGTTTATCAAACTGACAATACAACAACCTAACTAATCAAGGGTGACCATATTAGTACTCTCTGGATTTATAGAATTGTACATGGAATTAGTTATTTTCACCATACCTTCTAACTTGATGCTTTATTTTCATTTCAAGGAAATGAGCAATATTATGACATCTGCATTTAAAAGTATAATGCTTTATAATGATGTAATTATTAGAATCTCTTCTAAACTATCAAATTATACTTTCCATAGAGTCACAAAAGGAAAGATTATGAGCTGTC